CCAGACAAGTGGAGGGTAGAGTCGCTTGCTCCCTAATACCGAAAGTATGACTGCAGGATAAGACTCCATAGCTATTGTTAGAAAGGTGGGTGTTTTGTTTTGTTTTGGGGTTTTTTTGCCCACAAAGAATTGAAACATGGAGTGTTAGAGTCAGTAGCTTGACTGTATTTGAAAGACTGGGCTGGTTTGGGCCACTTTGCCCCTTGGATAACTTTTTACTGTACAGAGGGTCGAGATAGGAGTATATCACTTCGGACGTTCTCTTCCTGTTTGAAGGGAAAACAGTAGCCAAACACCTTGCCAGAGCTTTTACCACCCATAGAATAAAGTCTAGCTGGAAATACTGACCAGCTTACAAGGAAAGCTCTCCTTTTATTTTTCCAATTGGTCAGGGTCTTCCTCAAGAATTGAATTCTTTATATTTCTCCATTCTGTGTTTCTTCTTTTTCATGCAGTATCACGAAACGAAGTTGCCACACATCTTCTCTCTGCCGTCAGTCAGAAATAGTTTCTTGACCAAATGTACCACCGGTATGAATCCCACCCCTCTATTTTTGGCAAGCATCTATATTTGTACTGAACTTATATAAGATAGATTTTGTTTGACAATCAAAGCCCAAGAGGCATATTCATCAGGTGATTTATCAGTATAAGACATGCTACTAATCATTATGTCTTAGTAGCAGTGCCAATGGCTTACAGTTTTACTCTCATTCACCATATTTCCTTCCGTCTCCTACACTATCAACAACAGTACATAACTCTTAATTTATCCCCGCATGCAGTCAGCTCTGAGATAAAAAAAATAAAAAGAAATAGTAGTCCCCTAGATAAATAAGCACTTTAGATTTAAAGACAAAAGCAAAGTATGACTTATTTAAAGTGTAAGAAGATGAGAAAGTTTGGAAAATAGTTATTCCAGAAGACATTGAAATAAAAATCCACAAAACTTTTGATGTGTCAAATCTCTCTCTAGCAATAAATACTACAGAAACTTGCACAAGTAAGTATATATAAATAAAGGTATTAATTGCAATTTATTTTGGTGGCAAGTGGAAATAACAAATACCTATCCATTTGGGAATGATTATAAACTACGATATATTCTAAAGAAAGGGCATAGCTATTAAATAGTATGAAATAGATCTCCATGTAGGAAAGTGACAAATATCCATGAGGCAGTGTTGATTTTTTTTTAAAGCAAGTTGCAAACAGTAAGTAGAAACATAATCTCATTTTTTATAATTCATGCTTCATACTCAGGAAGGTGTCTATGGTTTTAAATTATTCAAGAAGGATGAAGATGTTTTATAAATGTAAAAGATTCTTAAAATTCATTGTGGGTTTAATGGTTTGAGCATTTCTTCAACTGCCAATGTACATGCACAGATTCTGAAGGTTACTCTAATGGTGGTTATCCTAGGGAAGTGGGAGATTGGGGAAGAGAGATAGGAGACGTGATTTTTACTTTTAAAACTCTAGTCATCAAATGCATGTAATTAATAAGGAATACTATGTAAAAAGCAATCATCTCCGAGCAGAGCTACGCTACTTCCTCCATTGATGACCCATTCATCAATCTCTTCCAACATCACATCTAACTTACAAAAACATGTAAGACAAATACATAGTATGATGTAGGATAGATGTTAGTAAAATGCAGTTCAGCTTCCCAAATTAGACGTATGAGTTTGGCGAATTATAGAAGAAACATTGTATTTGAATTCTTTGTAGTTACCTTCCACATGGTCGATAGAGATAAGTCGGACATGTGAGATAACTATATTAATGGTAGAAATGACTTAGCTTTTGTTTGGTCCCAGAAGAGGTGATGTTATCCATATCAGTTAGAGTCTATCAACATGGTTTAATGACGCTGCATTAAACCATTTCCATAAAGAGCAGCTGTTTCTTCCAATCTGTCTCTCCCTTGTTGTCCCTAAATATGTGTTCATACACTCATTGGTCTTTGTGTTTTGATATCATATAAGGTGGACAAAGGTGTTGCATAAATATGAAAGATTATTTTCAAAGGTGGTTTTTAAGGCTTACTATTTTAAACATGATTTAAACTGTAGATGCTTAGAGTTTTCAGTGGCTTAATGCAATAAAACCCACCTGTTATTTTTGGCTGCTTTATTTAGACCATCTGCTTCACAAAGAATGAAAAGCTCAACTGTGGATGGAGAATTGTCTACTCCTCATGTGTCAATAATTTATTTATTCTCTCTATCCAAGCCTTCAGGTCATTGCAATAGTGTTTATTCATTTTCTAACACAATGGAAGCCAATATTTGGTGTTTGGCTCTATTAAAAATCATCACAGGAAATTGTATTTTTTGTTAATTCATAGTTTCATATTTTCCCCTATGTTAAAATCGCTTGCTGGTGTCCTTTATTTTAAAGACCCTGAGTCTCTCTTCCTTCTGTGGCAGGTAGAATATCTGCTGAAGAGATATTTTTGGTGATGGTGAATGAATAATATATCATTCACAGTTCAGGTAGCTATGTGAGCATAGTCTTCCTCCTAAATCATGAAGTCATGTCAACTACAGACAAGAATTATAAAAGTCAGGCATTTGGTCACCAACTGCTTCCATTTGAATGGAATGGTTTTATAGTCCTCATCCTCAGTTTATTGCAACATAGACCACTGGAGGTTACTTTGACTTTTCTCCTTCATTTGATTATTATGCCTTTATTCTCTCTAAAGTTCACCGCCACATCTTTGACCATCTCTAATAATAATAATAATAATAATAATAATAATAGAAATGGCAACAACAATAACAGCTCGTATTTATTGAGAGTTTGTGAGTTTTTTTTAAGTTTATGTATTTATTTTGAGAGAGAGCGAGAGAGCAGGGTAGGGACAGAGAGAGAGGAAGAGAAAGAATACAAACAGGCTTTGCGCTGTCAGCACAGAGCTCAAGGCAAGGCTCAGTCTCACAAACCATGAGATCATGACCTGAGCCAAAATCAAGAGTTTGGACACTTATCTGACTGGGCCACCCAGATACCTCCAGTGGTTACTAGGTTCTAAATGCTATACTAAGCACACTTCAAATCTACTACTCATCTTTATTCAGCTCCTCTTTTTTCTCATTTTAGGCTTTCTCCAAAACTTACTCAAGGTTTTTTTTTCCTTCTGCTTACTCAGTTATTTCCTCAATGAGAACACTTCCCATATGGTTCAAAATACCACCTCTTTGTGGGCGGTGTCTAACTGCATCTCCAGCCTGTCTTAGTTCATTCTGGCAGCGATAATAAAATAGCATAAACTAGATGGCTTATAAATAACAAATTTATTTCTCATAGTTCTGGAGCTGGAAAGTCCAAGATCATGGTGCAGGAGAGGACCTGCCTTCTCCTTGATGGCCATCTAACCTCACATGGCAAAATGGGTGAGGGAGGTCTCATTTGGACTTTTTATGAGGTCACTAACTCCATTTGTGAGGATTCGGCTCTCATGAGCTTATCCTCTATCAAAGGCCTCAACTCAAAAGTACCATCACATTAGGGATTAGAATTTCAACATTTGAGTTTGGGGAGAATACAAACATTCAGACCCTATTATAGCCACAAAACTTAAATCTACCTTCCAGTTTCCAGCTGCCTCTAGGATATTTTAGGGTTAATTAAGTGGAACAAGGAGCAAATATCTCTTGAATGCCGACTAATTGCCTGGTACTTAGTCAATGTTTTACATGTTATTTTGTTTAAGCCTCCACATAAACAATTTAATCTCATTTTAGATTTGGGGAAAGTTAGGAACAAGTAGTTTAATAATTTTCCTGAGATGACACTGTTGATAGGAAGCAAAATGGAATAAAAACTCAAGTGCAATTCTAAAACCTATAACTTTATAGTAATTTATGTGGTAAGTTTAGGCTGTAATACTTTCTCCATATCATTGACTGGCATTTGAGATTATCACCCACGTATCACCAAAGTTTCCTTTCAGTGTTTCTCTGTTTATCTCCTACTCACCTCCCTGCCATGACTCTCACTCAAGTCCTCAGTACCTCAACTTGAGATCACTCTGGTTATCTCCCTCCCCACTTTTCATTTCCAACTCATGCTGCACATAACTACCCAATTTATTTTCCTGTGGCCCTGCTCTCCTACTGTCATTTCTTGGCAAAAGAATCTATCACCTCACCCATGATCTATCTGTCAAGGTCAAATGATAGATTCCGAGTTTTCCTTCAACTTCCTCTAAACTACATTCCAAGATGATCCTTATTTATTAATTCATTTCACTCACAACAGTCAGTTCACTGGGCTCTTCACTAGCGTTGCTCTTTGTCATTCCTTTTCTACTTCCAGAAATCTTTCCTCCTCTTCTTAGCCAATGTGATCTTACCCTGGGTCAAAGTTCCCAACAAAGTTCTTTTTTTTCCAGGGAAGCCATCTTGTCTGCCTACAGCCCACTAACGTCTTTTCTTCTCACAGTTCCTGCAGTTTTTCAGTGTGCTTCCCACCTTTATCTAGTGCCTCTTATTTGAGCCTCCAATATTAGACAGTAAACTGATGAGGATGGGGGCCCTCTGTTCTACATTTTGGAACTTGGCATATGAAGTTGGCACATTGTATGTGTGTAATTCCTTCTTTTAGGTTAGTTGACTGCCATAAACTGTGTAGTTTGAAGTGACAATCATTCTGTCACATAAAGCTTGTACCTTCCTGATAACCTTTATCACAGTCTGTTTTTCCTACAGATGTTTGGAATTTCCCACCTTTGATATTATATATGTCTAATAGGAAACAACAAACAATATTTGTTCAGCTCTTACATATGTTTCCTATCTGATACCATCTCTCATGCAAAAAAGATAATGATACTTACATGCTGCCATCCTTTAGAACCTATCTATGGTAACTTTTACAATGCAATGTCTATCATTTAAAGGGAGATAATAAGATGATATAAACCATACTATGTCACCAGGTTTCTTATCAATAGTCATGATTCTCTCTTCTTTCCAAAGGCGTGCTTACGAAGTATTAGATGAAAAATTTGAAAAGTCCCGTCTGTCCTTGGAATGTAATCTCTTATGAAGCAGCCTGGAAAAATGCTAAAGAGCAAAAGAGTACGTTTTATTCTGAGTTCTTTTGAGGCTGAAGCCGACATTTGAACTATCTCCAAGATTGTGATCTCTGCAGAGATATTTATTGCACCTTGATGAAGATGAATGGTGTGACAATAAATAAGGTAAGTGGCTGGGAATTCAAAGCTCAGATATCCTGGTGACTCTTGAGATACAAGCCAGGTACCTCAACTTTCTGTAATATGAGAACAAAGGACAGTACCTCTGATGAGAGTTAGCTTCTTAGCAAGGGAATACATTGTGTTCAGAAAGCACTGGTTTACCTTTTCAGTATTTTAAAATACATTGGCATCATTAGTGCAGGGCCATTTAAAGGTCTATAGAATTCCAATAGAAAAACCAATGATCAGTATAGTGTAACACTAAGGTCACACACACACACACACACACACACACACACAAAATGGTCAGCTAATTCCTAGTGATTTACTATGTGATTTCCAATGGGGCATCTACTGAAGGAGTGATTAAGTAGAATTCAAAACTGTCAACAACTCCTCTGCTTTGTTTGTACATTAAAAATAAATCTATATTTTTGGTATGGATATAATCTAAATTGCATGATTATGTGGAAATGATAATACAAATTATATCCCTGAATAGAAAATGTTACCAATTTTGGTATTTTATCTTGTTTAATCCACTGACCAATTCTGTGATGGTAGTATTTGTATCCTAACTTCACAGATGAGTATATTAAACCTTAGATTAAATAACTCGCCAAAGGTCAAAGTTAGTAAGAAGTAGAGGTAGGATTCAAGTAAGTCTGAAAGTGAATTCACTTTCCTCACTCTCTTATTCAGGATTTTGAGAAATCCGGGAGTAAATAAATACATTTCACATTGTTTAGAACAAGCTCCGCCATAGTTATTTGACCAGTAAACATGTTTTCAATGGGAAACTTTCTAAAACCCAAGACACTAATGTTCTACAGCATATACTTTGGGGAATCCTGCACTAGGAAGATGAGGAGTTTGGCAGGGAGATCAGATCTCACACAAGTGAAAAGAGCTGCCCAGGTAGCTGGTTATAATCCAATGTATGGCCAGAGTGCATGCATTGGTGCTATGGATTCAAAAGAGGGGCAAATCCCTCTTGGCTTCGAAAATCAGAGATGCACATGGCCATCTGTCTCAAAACCCTGAAGGAATGATCAACATGCTGACAAATCAGTTGTTGGTCTCACTCAGGATTCTGATCAAATCAAGCAAGAGAAATCATGGAGGACCCCTTGCTTCTCCAAGGTTGTTCTAGATCTAAAGAAGATTCTCCCATTAATTCTCTCAACACTAAGTATTTGCAAAAGTAGGCAATGGCCCTGTACCTCCACTAGCTTGAAACCACTGCTCTGAATAATCTCTCCTGAATAAACCACACCACCCAGTTGGAATCTGCTTATTTCTACTGAAGCCTGTGAATCTGAAGAGGCCAAGAGGTTTCCATGCAGACAATTTGATGCAGTCATTTAGATGAAACAGTTGTTTTTGTTTGGCCTTAAAAATTAGCTCTTGGACTTTAAGCTTTTTAGGATGAAAAATGAGAGTTTCTCCTCCCCTTTTTGACCCCATCCTTATTCTTACCTATGTGTATGTGGAGTAAGAAGTGGGAAGAAGGTTGGAGATTAGATAAGGTTTGATTTCAAATATTATTGCTGCTTTAAAATAATTACTTTGTATTTTGATGCAGCTACATGACAAATATCCTTCAAGTCAAAATTCTCTTGAGGAAAAAGGTGAGCCAAAAAAATACGACCTCTTTTGAGACGATGACTATGTCTTATTTATTTTGTGTTCCAAGGATCTAGTACAGTATTTCACATTAAATAAGATCAATGAGGAAAATCGCCACCACACTCAGTCCAATCAAACCCTAGCTATGAAACCTAACCATGGCTAAAGACTATGAAAAGGGGAAAGAGAAGCTTCCAGTCCCCGCTGTATCCCTCTGACTGTACTGTCCCCTTCGTGCACTCCTCACTCTTTGTGCTGTCAACAATCTCCTGGACTCTGGGGGCGCCATTTCTTCCAGTGCATCTTTTTTTGTAGCAAAATTGAAAAGAGGTTGGATAGTTAAAGAAGACTTTTACTTAAAGTCTTATTGATAAGAATGTGGGAAGAAACCCAAAGATAAATATATAACTAGATAGAAAATATTCATTTTTATCTTGGGAACACCTGCAGAGATTCCTTTTGCCTATGTTCTTAACCTGCATTCATCTTCCCTTACCATGACAAGTTAAAAACCTCAATTCTAGATTCCTTATGACCCCAAAAAAAAAAAAAAGAAAAGAAATTAAAGTTTTTCTTCTCAACAAGAGCTGCTTTAACACATTTTTTTACAGCAGTGGGTAATACCATTTCATTGCTCAAAGACCCTAAAGAGTATGCTGTAAATATGCTCAATACAGGGAGTTGGCTGAGTCATAAATACCCTTCGGTTAGACCACAAAAACTTAGCTGAAGACAATGCATTTGACCTGGAGTTCAGTTTCTCAGGAATGTTGGCTCCTGGCCTGCCTGTAGCAAATGTGTCCACCTGAGCATTTCTACCTCACTGCAATATTCTGTCACCACTCCTCAAAGTAGCTCACTACTGTGGGGTTAGCAGATTCTGAATTTGAGGATGTTTCAACAACATGTATGATTCTCTAGGGGTTGTTTGTAAAGCTGATTTAGCAGGAGGTGTCAATCAACAATTTATGGGAAGATTTTTCTGTCTCCTATACCTGATCATTCAAAAGAAATACTTTGCTTTGGGGTTATAGTTCCCATAAATCTAGTGTACAAGAATATTGTACTTTTACAAGGGGCCATGTAGTAAATAATAGCTAGGAATATTTCAATTAACTCTTCTATACTATTCATTCTTTCTCATGTTAAAAAGAATGTTTTTAAATAATTCTAGCCCTTCAATCTATGAGTTCAATTTTTTATAAAAAATAACTTTGTAAAAATGTATACATACAATGAGGATTTTTTCTGTAATATATTTTACATATATACAATTATATAAAGAGTTAAAATATACCATAAGTTCCTTTTTGGAATACTGATTAGGTGTGCTATATTTAATTACAAATAGATCTTTAATGTTCAAAAATATCTTTTTGTAAGCTTTGAGAAGGATTTGAGGGAACAAAGGGATTCAGCTTCTTGGGTGAAGAAGTGAGACTCTTTCATGGAGGAGGCTCATTGACAGAAGGTAGAAAATTGTTCAGTAATTCTGCCAAGGTCAGTGTCAGCTTCAGTTACTGGCTACATATTTTACAGTAAACACTGCTGAAATCACAGTTGCTCGTGATGGTTAAATTATCCCCTCTCCTGGTTCACTTGGTAGAGATAACATGAGAGAAGGTTATGTGTGTCCTCTGATTCATTTTCATTTGCTCTCTCTCATGCACTTTATTTATTTCCTCTTCGGGTTTTATTGGAAAACTGAGTCTGTTGAAAGTGTATTTGTGAGCTACAATGAAGTCCCAAACTCCATCTAGCTCCCGCCTCATTCAGGTTTCTCTCACTCACCCAACTTTTGGGTAGGGATGTTCCTTCCTGGGATATACCTCTGGGCCAATTCTCTCACCATTTGTTTTATATTTTTTCATTTAGCCTGCATGTAACACAAACAGCTTTTTGGTGGGTGCAGATGTTCTCAGGCTTTCATAGGTCCGTTATCTGATCCTGAGCAATCCTGGAGGACTCGATGAGCCTTGCCAGGCCATTTCTCTTTCCAGGATCCAGTTCCCTGAGGCTTGAGAGGCGAGGAAGTCTTCCCTGTTTATATAAGCATCCCACACTGAAGAGTTATAAATCAAGTGTTTCTTTACAGGTTACTTTTGATTCCCTGGTGAAAGTCAAGGGTCACAGTGCTCCTGGTGGGTCAGGGAAGAGGGGGGGCTGATTGCTGAACGGCAGGTTGATTCATGTGATGGGACAAGTAATTGCTAGAGAAAGGGAGTGGGTATTGGCTATGCCTCTCTCCTCCTTGGTAATTCCTAAGAACTATGTGTGTCCCAAGCTACTTAGTATCTGGCCAGGTCGTATTTCAGTGATGGCTAATCACCAACCTATTTTGAAGACTTCTGTATTCTTTAATCACTGGCTTAGCAGGCAGCTCTTTTACTGGTTTTCTCTGGTTTTCTAATCTCTCCTCTGAGTCAGGTATCTGGGCATATTTTTGCAGAGACTACAGGTCCCTGCAGTAACAGAGTCTGGCCCTTCACACTCATCTCCTTTCTTTTTTGCTCCTTTGTTTAGTTAAAAAATCTTCATTTCTCTCTATGGATTCTTGATCTCCAAGACATTGCTTTCAGTGGCGATCTAGGGTAATAATGAGGTCCCTCTACTACCATGTCAGTAGTTCTAGGACACTGTAGCTCACCACTAGGGATTCTGTTTGTAGGCTGATCCCTACCAGGTAAGATCATTGTGGTCTCTCTATATATGGTTAACACTCCACCCTGACCACTGATGCTTTTTTTGTGTTAGCCTATGGAAGGGCATTTTCTCAGCTTGAAAATGTCACAACGGCCACTAGAGTGGTGGTTGATAAAAATGTGGCTCCAATAACTATGGGTACAAGTTCAAGTCAAATGCCTGATTAGAATATAGGAAGCTTGGCTTGTCTATGAACAGCTTAACATTCATTTTGCAGCTGCATTACTACTGCACTCTTTTAGTTTTCCATCACCCATTAAATATTACTTTGCCTATGTGGATCACAGAAGGATCAATATCTTATGAAAAGATTAACAAAGGGAAAAATACAAATTCTTTGTATATATAGATCACAGAAAGATTGACATTTTGTGTGGAGAATACCAAAGAAAACACATACAGCAGGGAGTTTTTCATCACATACGTATAGAAAAAGAGAAAGTGATCAATAAGGCTATGTAGTTACTGACCTGTGAACACTTGGCTAAAGAGAATGCTCCTCTGATAAATCCAGAAAAAGAGCCAAATGCCACAAATAAGAGAACGAACAAAACAACCTATCTAGTTTTATCTGTGTATCTGAGGAGCTCAGAGGTGAGTGGGGACCGTAGATGTCCTAGCAGCCTGCCCTCCCTGTGATGTCTGCCTACCTGTTCATGCTTTCAGTCAGT